AAAATCAAGCATCACAATACTTCTCCGTACAGGCCCAAGATGAATGGTGTGGTGGAAGTTGTCAATAAAAATATCAAGAAGATTGTGCAAAAGATGGTGGTAACCTATAAAGATTGGCATGAGATGTCACCGTTTGCTCGCCATGGCTACCGTACTTCGGCTCATACGTCAACTGGGGAAACTCCTTTCTCTTTGGTCTATGGCATGGAAGTCGTCTTGCTTATAGAAGTTCAAATTCCATCTCTAAGAATAATGAAAGAAGCAGGTCTAGGCGAAGATGAATGGATTTAGACTACGTTGGATCAGTTGAACTTGATTAACGAGAAGCGGTTGGCTGCTGTTTTCCATGGTCAGATGTATCAAAAGCGTATGATCAAGGCATTTAACAAAATATCAAGCCTCGAGTGTATCAAGCTGGCGACTTGGTAATAAAGCGCATCATTCTTCCACAAGGTGACCCCAGGGGCAAATGGACTCCCACTTATGAAGGACCATTTGTTGCAAAGAAAGTTTTCTCTGGTGGTGCCATGATGTTGACCACTATGGACGGCGAGGACTTCCCACATCTTGTGAATGCAGACATAGTTAAAAAATACTACGCATAAAATGACCCGTTAGGTTGACACACCTGGGAAAAATATGGGCATCTCGGTGAACCAAAGAGGTTCGGGAAAAAATTAGGGATATATGCAAAAGATTGTACACCCTGCAAGTTGAAAACCCGAAAGGGCGACTTGGGAAAAAATGGGTATCCTAGTTGGCTGAAAACTCGAAAGGGAGGTCCACGTAAAAGTTAAGGATTAAAAGAATATGACTATGTCCCGTGGGATCTCTGCATCCAGCTTTATTACCGAGGTCAAGATTAATCCAATCAACTCCTTTCAACGGTAATGGGTGATTTTCAAAGACATAAGGGCAATAGTGGGGTTGGAACATAATGAGATCACTTTCATATGGCTATTATTTTTGTTTTCACTTTGTATTCTTTCAATTCTTTCGACGATTTCCTCTTACTAGGATCTCAGTCTCTTTGTACAAAAACGCCTAATTCGTGGGAAAAACATCAATACAAATATATTTTGAAGTGCAAACTTATTTGTTTTTCCTGTTTTGAGTGCAAAAGTGTCCAATGACTAAAATTGAATGAACATGTGCATATGAACATGATTAAACTTTTAACAAATGTATGCTTAAAAACAGTTGAAACAACCGGCTGAAAATCATCAAACAATGAAGTCGCCATCGAACGCCTTTTATCCCACATGAAGGGAAAGGTAAACATCGAGTAAACCTGAAAAGGGTGAAATCAAGGTCGAACGGCCAAGAGATAAGGGTAAGGGAGTCTGTTACGTGAGGGGAAGGTATTAGAACCCCACACGCCCGTAGTACCCTACGGTATCCACTCTTGTTGTCTATCTTATGGGTGTGTTTAATCTATGCTTACGGTTTATTATTGCTAAGGGGAGAATGCATGTAAAAGAAAAGAGAGAAGAATATAGGGAAAATAAAAGTTGTGCTCGTTCGGGCCCTACTCCGATGTCTACGTATCCCTTTTAAGGAATCAGAGCAGCCGTAGTTCGGCTTATATTTTTGTTTGTTTGTATTTTCTTTAATGAACAGTATTAATCTTGCCTTCTTCCGCAACTCGACCTTTGGAGATTTACGCGTCAGCACAGAAGTGAATTAATATGCTCTTTTGAAAAGTTTGGAAAGAAATGTGCCTGGACGCACAAAAAAGGTTTGAACTTGTTTATTTTTGAATGAACGATAGTAATTACGCCTTCTGCTGCAACTCGACCTTTGGAGATTTACGCGTCAGCACAGAAGTGAATTAATATGCTCTTTTGAAAAGAGTTTGAAAGGAAGGGCCCGAAGGCAACAAGAGTTTGTATTGGTTGGTGTTTTTGCTTGTAGATAATAGCTAGTAAATCTCAAGAGAGAGATTTTAGCCATGTCTCTACTTATTCATGAAATGAGTCTTTGAGACTTGAACCACGCCGAAGCTTAGAATAAAAGAATAATAAGGTTGAGAAAAGACCCGCTTATCGTCTCACATACTTAACGAAGATATGATTCTAGTCAGCAAATTTAAAGTGTTTTGAATTTTAAAAGAGAAAGAAGTTTTTGTTTTAGATGCGTATGCGAAAAGGGAAAGAAAAGTCAAAGGGAGACTAGCCTATTTCTAAACCTAATGTTATTGTGTATTAGACCTAAAGTTAGAATTTTGAAGGAATTCTACCTAATGTTAGCATGCATATGGTTTACGATAAAGAAATGCAATAAAGTGCGAAATGAGGGATAAAATAAGGCCACGATGATACCGAACGGAGAAGGTCTGTTGCCTTTTCAAAGCCACACAAGTGATAAGAAAACTCTACCGAAAGCTGCTCCGCATGAGTGCTCATAGAATTAATCTCCAAGCATTCCATATTGCAAAAATTGCATCTATACTATCACAAAGATCTTGACTAAAAATGGCAACGAAAATGGTTACTAAACATAAACACTAATAGAAAATTCTAATTAAAATTCTAAAAAAGAAATTCTAGAAAAATTCTATTATATACTACCACTTTTTATTATTATTTTTTTTTATAGAGAAAATTCTACCAAACAAACAAGAATTAATTCCTAAATTAAAAAACTAACAAGTTTTTATGGGTTTTAGAATAAAAAGAAGTGGACAAAATTATATGCAAAAATAAAATCTTAAAGATTATAGGGACAAGGGGTGTAGTATTGACATCAGGGTGCTAGGCCCATAAAAAATGGTCCAATGTCAGTTTTGTCTAGCAAGGCAATTCTACAAAAAATGCATATGGGCTCAAGGCAATGCAGTCCAGCCCGGTGACTATCAACAACAATTCAAGCTTATGTTTTTGTTTTTAATTATTTTTTTACTAGAAATAAAGAAAAAATAAAGAAAAAGAAAAAAAGACAATTTGAAAGGGAATTAGAACGTGAGTTTAGGGTTAGAGGAGTTGTCCTCTTCATTCGTCAACGGCGGCGCGATACCCCTATCAACGACGATCTCCGCCGTCTTCTTTGCAATAACCTCCGTTGTGACTGTTATCATTTCTTCATCTTCAACCTTCTTCAACCTCCATCAATAACTTCAACTCCCTCTAAATTAGTCTGTAACATTCCGTCAATAGAAGGAGCTGCACCGTCGAAGTTGGATCGGAAATGTAGTCGAGGTGAAGATTGTAACGTCGAGCCGAAACAAGGGCGGAGGGAGATGATGAGTCGCCGCTTGCATGAAAGAGAACATGTTGAAGAAGACCGAAGCAACGAAGGTAATGATTTTCATTGGAGTTTGAAGCAGAGATCGAAGGAGATAGAGGTGGCTTTGTTCGTTTCACGGAGGGGGGCGCAAGTTTACACCGATCAGAAGAGTATTGCGCGCCTCTCAGCTTTGGTTTCAATACATCTTAACTTTTGGATTTTGAAGCCGCGATTTGACTGTGTCTACACCTCAACTTCGTCTTTGGAATTCAAAGGTATCTTTCAGCATTCGTCTTTTCCATTTCTGAAAACCACTTCTTCTTCTTCGATTTCTTAGGTAGCGTATTTTTCTTCGAATTCGTTTCTGTGACGTGTGATTTATTATTGGTGTCAGATTGGAGATATGTTGATGAGGAATTGCGATAGCGAGGATTGTTTAGAAGTTTGGGAAATGACGTTGTTTCGGTTGTGTTTCACTGAAGAATGAAGAATGCAGATGATAACCATAAAATTGCAGAAGAAATAGTGATGAAGGTTGAAGATAGATTGATGATGGAGGAAGAAGAAGTTGAAGACAGAGAGGAGTCAAATTTTTGTATGGTGAGTTTGTTACCTGTATCGCATCTTGTGAATGAGTTATTTTCCTCTGAGTTTTCTTGTATAACTTATGTAGAATCATAACTGAACTGTGTGTGAATTATTGATTATTGATGAAGGGAGTAAAACATAGGTTGAGATATGGAAGATGGTGATGTAGGGGTTGGAGTGTCAAGGTTGTGAGATGAAGATTGTTGAAGATGAAAGAATGCGTGATGTTGATGTGCATTTGATGTTATTGTGCGAAGGTTTGCAGCGATGTCGTTGGAGAAACAGAAGATTGAAGGGAGTGATGATTGGTGGAGACGAAGTAGAGAGAAAGTAGAGGTAACCTTCTCTTTTTGTCTCAGTTGTCTTGTCTTCTTGCTATCCCTCTTCTCTTTTCGACCTTCAGTTTAAATGGTTGTTGTCGTGTTGTTGTTGAATGACACAGTCTTTGTTGTTGCTGCAGAATTGAAGAATCTTGAAAGGATGCTGATACTAATAGGTTAAAGATGAAGATTCTGGTTGTGATTCGGTTGCAGAAAGTTGAGAGAAAACCGTTACAGAGGAGTTGCCGTTTGAAGGTATGGTCATGAAGATTGAAGTTGCCTTGAGGGAGATGAAGAGAAATTCAGAGATTGGATGGGTATGTGATGATGATTCAGTTGAAAAGAGAGTAGAGAGATGATTCTGATTTTTTTTGTGGTGATTCTTCCAGAATGCTGAAGAATGAATCGTGAAAGAGGTAAATTTTTCTCTACCTTTTTCTGATTTTTTTTTGAAATTTTTTGTGTCCTTGAATAACTGTAAAATGGCCCTGAATTGAATGATGATATCCCCTTACTTGTAGTCTCCGAATTTCTATTATATAGAGGGCCGAGAGTTGGTTATGGATTTTGTTAGCAATTAGGAAGTTAGTAAATATGTTAGAAAGCAGTTAGAAAAGTTTGTTTGGAATTATGAATTTCTGTTTGGCAGTTGTACTGTTTACAGGTTGTTACGATCCCTTGGGTGATGTTAATTAGGAAGTTAGAAGTTAGTGAGAGTTTGTTAGGAGTTTTGTTATTCTATTATCAATGTTGGGAATTTTGTTAGATTAGTACACTGTTTTATTGCAGGGCTGTTTAGAGAGTTGTTAGGTGGTTAGGATACAGTTACAGTATATTATGAACACAAACTCAAAATTAGACAGGTATTTAAACCATGTCTGTGATATCATCATACCCACCGTCATTCCACCCAGATCCTGCTCGGAATTTGCAAACAGGGCACGTTCCTTGTTGCCGCGACCAAGGATCAATGCAATTAGCATGAAACTGATGCAGGCAGGGCAAGCTACAAAGTACATCTCCAACATTAACCTGCTCCAAGCATACACTGCAGGTGAGCTCATCATCCAAGGCTTTTGTGTTTGTGAACTGCATTTGAATTATCCTGTGTTTTCTCAACAGAAGATGATGGAAGGTGCTTGTGACATTGAAGAACTACTTTTTTGGAGAACAGAAACCTTGTGTTTATGAACTGGAAGAGCGTTTATCTCTTCTTCAGTCATAGAAGGTGCAGTAGAAAAAACCAAGAAATGAAGGATGGTTCTCTGGATTCCGTTCGAGGTTGAAGATCACGAGAATCAGTGTTTTCCTCTTTTTTTTTGTAAAAGTTTATTTGGACCTTTGTAACTTTGTTTTGTAATCTTGAAATGACATGTACTGTAACATGAGTGAATGAAAGATGCTCGAATGATTGAACTTGAGTAATTTGAATAATTTGAATGACCATGGATGGGAATAGTTCCGACTTGTAATAATTTGATTTCTTTTGTAAATTTGTAGCCTTTCTTCCTTGTAGCTGGTAGTAATTGTGTGATTTGTGTATTGAGAATTTATACCGCGCCTTCTTATAGTTTGTAGAATATTTAAGACTTTTGTATATTTTGAGAATTATGTAGTCAAAGCAGAAGCTTGAATGAGATGTACTGGTAGAACTTGAATATGCTGAAACTTGCTACAATTCAAAATTCCATGTCTACTATTTACGAGCTTTTGCAAGATGGATCCATTTGAATTACGCCATTTCGAAACATTCTTTAAGCTTCTTAGCTTTTGGTAAATGGAGGCCTTGATCACGCTTTAGTCAAATTAAGGAATTTTACCCATCCGATCTCAAATTTAATCCATGATACTTCCATGATGAGTGATTTGTCTTTTGTAACTTCAGTGCAATGACTTGAATTTGTAATGAACAAAACTTTATAAATTCTTGCATGACAAATTTCCAATTATTCATAACATTTTTTCTCATTCAGTTTGAGCTTGAATGGATACTTGAATGAACTTGAGACAACCATGATAAACACTCGAATGTTATTAAATGGATCTTTTTATCTTTTACCTTGGGATGAACAATGATGTGGAATAATCTTGAAAATAACAACTTGAATCATGAAGAGATTTACTTGATACCATGTACTTTAATCTCAACTTATATTCATGTGCCATCTTCTTCCGCAAGAACTTACGAACTAAACCTTCGGGCATGCTATTTCCTTTTTTTATCAAGTTGAACCTTAATCCATGTTTGAAACCAAAGTTCTTGCACAAATATCCAAACAATAGCTTGTACCAATTATTCGTAATGACTTGACCGTCAAGCAACCAAATTTACCCTACAAAATATCTTGAATCATGACGTACCCAACCCTAATTGATTAACTTATGGATAGATGAACTCAATGCAACAATGACATAGTCAACAACCTGTAACGCAAGCATCATATGCGTCTTGGATTGATAACAGATCTTGACCCTTTAGAGAAATCTTAATACACCTCTAGTATTGACAAAACCTTGGCCAAATGATAAGCGCGATGATAGAATGAGGTGTTTTGAATCAAAGATCATGTACGCGAGATCACAACCTTAAGTTATTGACAGGAATACCTTGCAACCTATTGTTCAGCAAAAGATAATAGCCTTGTAGCTTGATGGGGAAGAAATTCAAGCTGAACATTGAAACAAAACCCTAATTCCAAAACCTTATACACCGAGAAGATCCTGGATAATCAGACTTATTCAACACATACACATCAAACCAGCTATAAACCCTAGATCCCTAACTGTTGGTCTTTTGGGCCTCAGGTGATCTATTTTATGAAAATGCGTGCTATGCACATGACCCATTGGAATGATGCAGATGAATGCAAAAAGTCTAAGCCATAAAAGTGCAATTAGGAGGGAAAATTTTGGGGTGCAACAGCTGCCCCTATTTAATCGCCTTCGACCTGAAGGTGAGATTGGCTCCAGCCTTTCGAACTTTCAAGGCAGAAGAAGATTAAATACTAAAAGAACCCGAAAATTTGCGCTCCAGAGTCAGTCAGGTATACACTATATTTTTGGTTTTCTGTACTTTCTATATTTATTTATTTATTTATTTATTTTAGGTAAAAAGGATTATCAGGGTTAGATGTATGTTTAACCAGAGTTTGACACACCGAAGGATAACTTGGTTATCGAGGAACTCTTGTCGGGATTTAGTAACAAACACCTGTAAGAAAGATATCAAAAGGTATATGCCTGAAGTCTATAGCAGACATACGAAAAAAAGTATCAGAGACACATATTCGGGGTTGGTAGCGGATATACAAGAAAGAGACATCAAAAATACATATCCGTGGTCGGTATTGGACACGTAAGAAAGAGATAGAAAAGATACATATTCGTGGTCAGTATCGGATACGCACAAAAGAGACATCAAAGATACATATCCGTTGTCGGTATCGGATACGTACGAAAGAGACGTCAAAGATACATATTCGTGGTCGGTATCGGATACGTATGAAAGAGATAGACCGAAGAAAGCTCTTACAAAGAAAACACCAGTCGAAGGTGAACTTACTGAGGGAAGAGACCAACAAATGGGACTCCTGACAAATGATACCAGTCGACGATGGATTTTAACAAATGATACCAGCCGAAGCGGGATTTTTACAAAGGGTACCTGCCGGAGCGGAATTTTTGAAAGATACCAGCCGAAGCAGGATTTTAAAAGATGCCAGCCGAAGGTGGATTTTAGGATAAAGAAACCAGCCGAAGGGGAATCTTCATCCAGGAATATTATGCTGAAGGTAGATTCCTAAGAAAAGAACACCGGTCGAAGGCGAACTTATAACTGCAAAGAGACCAGCCGAAGGGGACACTCAACAAATGATACCAGCCGAAGGTGGATTTTAAAGGATGCCAGCCGAAGGTGGACTTTAGGATAAAGAAACCAGCCGAAGGGGAATCTTCATCCAGGAATACTATGCCGAAGGTAGATTCCTAAGAAAAGAACGCTGGTCGAAGGCGAACTTACAACTGCAAAGGGACCAGCCGAAGGGGACTCTCAACAAATGGTACCAGCCGAAGGTGGACTTTAGGATAAAGAAACCAGCCGAAGGGGAATCTTCATCCAGGAATACTATGCCGAAGGTAGATTCCTAAGAAAATAACGTCGGTCGAAGGTGAACTTACAATTGCAAAGAGACCAGTCGAAGGGGACTCTCAACAAATGGTACCAGCCGAAGGTGGATTTTAAAGGATGCCAGCCGAAGGTGGACTTTAGGATAAAGAAACCAGCCGAAGGGGAATCTTCATCCAGGAATACTATGCCGAAGGTAGATTCCTAAGAAAATAACGTCGGTCGAAGGTGAACTTACAACTGCAAAGAGACCAGCCGAAGGGGACTCTCAACAAAGATTGCCAAAACACATTGGGCTTTCGATAAGTTGCAAATACGCAAGAACTAAAAATCCCTCAAGCCAGAGGTGGGGTGTTAATTCTCCAAGAGTGGCAATTATCTGAATTACCATAGATGGACACAATTGGCTTATACTCATGCATGTTTGAGGATTTTTTTTGTAGCGTAATGCTCCATACGATGGAAATGCTACGCGTTTTAGTAGATGCAATGTAACGATGCAAGTTTAGTAATGCATTATGAAAACATATCAATAATCGGCTGTTGAGAAGTCAGTGAGCTTCTGGACAATTATTCTGGCACATCTGATCTTCTGTTGAGAAAAAGCAATTTGTACTTCAATGGGGAACCGAGATTTGGAACCATCGACCCCTAAAGATTGATATCACTGGGGAAATAACTTCCTGGGAATAATACTGCAAACATAAATTGCGGTTCAGAGAGAATCTTGAATTCTGATCAAACTCTCAACTTCTTGGAGAGTAAATTCTTTATCCTCCGTTGGAAAGAGAAAAGCTTTGTTGGGAATAGAAGCTCTTGGCATAGAAATTCTTTGACAAAGACGACTTCTGTTGGGGGAGTATAGAAATTCTTAAATAAAAAGAATTCTACTCAGACCATGCTGGGGATAACATTGCTGGGAAGTAAAAGATCCTTGTGATCGGTGGATCTGGAACTGACTGTTTAACGCTGGTTCGCGAAATGTCGCGGAAGCAAGAGTCGCCACCGTCTTTTATTTTCTCTAAATGGAAAGGACAAAAGCACAGAAAAATTCCTTAAAGAGATTGCTCTCGGTTTTGGAGGTAGGTTATAGAAAGGGAAGGTGTTAGCACCCTTTCTATCCATGGTTATCCATGGGCTCTTAGATACTTGCTCATTTGTGTTTTCAAAATGGTTTGTTTGCTTTTCAACTGTGGGTTTTAAAAAGTTTCTTTGAAAATTTCAGTTCGACTCTTGTATCGGTCCTCAAGAGTGTTTGAAAAATTGCTTTCGAAAGCTTTTTGAAAAGGTGTCGGTGTGAAAAGTATTTTGAATTTGTTTTGAAATTAGAGCAAGTATCTATGAGTCGTCTACCTACCCTAAGGAATTCGTCTGTGTAAATGTCCTTTAAAGTAGTGCCATCCCACCATTGAGAGGTAGGTAGCACCACCATTGGAGGTGTTCGGGTCAATTCGAGGTTCGGGACATGGTGATCACCAGAGCAATAGGAAGACACCTTAGAAGCTACCCTCATGCCAGGTTCCCGGATCATGAGGACTTACTAAAACATCTTCTACTCGACGATCACCTTTCGAGGCAAGGCAACAGTGAGGCGTACCCTAGGGGTGGTGTGTGCGATTCGTGTGTCGTTTTCATTTGCATTTATCTTGTCATGTTATTGGTGTTCTACGCTTGTTTTTATTTTTGTCCATACATTCTTTCATACCACTTGTTAACAGTTAAAAAAAGTGCGGGAAATGTAAAGATTCTAAGCTATTACAAAAGGCGCGGGTCCACATCGCCAAAATTTCCAGGACCCGATTTGACAGAAAATAAATAAATAAAGTAAAGAATTAAAAGTGTGAGAAATAAAGATTACATGGCTTTGGGGGAGATACATAAATATTTAAACGCAATAAAATAAATATGCGAATTAATAAGAATAAAAAAACGAGGGCGTTGGACCCTTTTTTGCAAAATTAGCTTAAATGGA